TATAATACATATACATATATCTCTATATATCTCTATCTCTCTCTATATATATATCTATATATAATAGCAACAAAAAACATTACTACTTCAAGTGTATCCCTTTGGGACTTAGAGATGAGAAGTTTTTCTGAAGTATTTTTAAAGCACAAAAACTCTTGCGCGGAAACATGTCACATTGAAAGGAAATACCAATTTGTTTATTCATCAAACTTCAGGACAAAGCATATTTGTACATTTGTTTCTATAACCACTAAGTATCAAAAAATTAAGGATAGTAATTACTGATCTCTACTTAGAGCCTTGGTAGCGTAGTGGTTACGAATTGGTCTGTGAACAATGCAAGGTCAGCAGTTCGAAACTACCAGCTGTTCCACGGGGGAAAGACCGAGGCTTTCTGCTCCCAGAAAGATTTGCACCTTGGAAACCCTGTACAGGGTCGCTATGAGTTGGAACCGACTCCACAGCACATAACCACAACCACCACCACCACTTAGAGCCTACTTGGAGGAACTGTGAAGACAAAAGGACAAGCTTGTCCTACTGGCTAGATTTTTCTTACCCTGAGAGTTAACTGCTCTCCTCTCTTAATGGTATTATTTGGGAATTAGTCACAACTGTGTGAATAGTGATTTTGAAAATTGTTTTCTTAGTTATATTTATCTTAGATTTCTTAGAAATCTGTGTTAACAATCAGGACTTGCTGGGTCCCATGGGTGATCCTGTGAATTGTGGTAAATTTAAAGGCTTCAGAAATGACACTGCTTGTGAGAGAAAACCATTCCCATTTGGTGGGGGTATGTGTACATAGGTGGTGTTGTTAAGTGCCGTCGAGTCGGTTCCGACCCAGAGCGACCCTGTACAGGGTTTCCGAGGCTGTAAATCTTTACGGGAGCAGAAAGCCTCATCTTTCTCCCATGGAACAGCTGGTAGTGTATGTGAGTATATATATGTTGTTGTTAAGTGTAGTTGAGTCAGTTTTGATTCATAGTGACCCTGTATAGGGTGTCTGAGGAGCGGCTGGTGAGTTTAAACTGCCCAATTTGTGATTCAAACTGACCTTGTGGTTCTGTGTTGTATGTATAGTTATAAAGCCCTATGATGATGGAAAGCAAGAAACATTAATACACTCCCAAGGCAGGGACTTCACAAAAGATTGCCTAACTCATATAATGCCCTAGTTAAGGGTACAGTGTAGCCCTGTTTTCTGGGATTGGAGAAACAGAAAATCTTTCTCCTTGAAGCTTCCAGCCCCTGCTGCCCACCCCCACATCACTTCAGTGGCACAAATAAATAGAAATCTTATTTCCTGTATTTGCAGACCCATTTGCCTTAATGATTAGACTTCTCCCTTGCCTTTCTAGGGTTTCCCTTTTCTGAACATACACTTTAACTTTCATCTCTCTGGCTCCATTGCCGCATTATTGTTTAAAGTCTTCTCTAATCCTGTATTTTAATCTGTGATGCTGGACATTGCCATTCTGCACAGCCTCCTGTTCATCATCTCTCAGATTCATGTTTTCTTCCATTACAAATTTAAATCCCTTTCAACAGTGCGCCTCGGAAACTCTATACACAGTTGCTATGAGTTGGAACTGACTTGAAGGCACTTAATAACAACAACAAAAAAAACAGTCTGAAAGAGTGAAAAAAAAACTTTAAAATAAAACACTATTATCAAAACTATTTCTACCTGTTTGAAATGCCTCACTTAGCTGACTTTATTTCCATTGATAATTCCTTTATCTTTGAAAACTTTGATTTACAGTTTTGTATGTGTGTAGGCATGAATGTGAATATGATTACTTTTCAATTTGCTTACCATAAATAAGGGAGCATATTGTATGCTTTTCAGTAATTGAAGAAAGTGTTGGTTTTAAAATAGAAAAGGTATGTATTTATATGTGTGTATACATACGGGGCTATATACACATGTATACAAGGGTACTTAAAAAAGTTTGTGGGAAAGTTCCATTGTCTTTTAATTTCAGTTTTCCTTGAACTTTTTGAAGCTCCCTCGTATATATAAATCTGTCTATACAGACTTGTACAGATATAAATGACAGAGACCATATATGTAATAATAATGTGTAACTTATAAAAACATACTACCAGTTTAACCACTATTGTTAAGTGCCATCGCGTCCGTTGTAGCTCATAGCAACCCTGTATAGGGTTTCCAAGGAGTGGCTGGTGGGTTTGAACCTCCAACCTTATGATTAGCAGTTCAGTGCTTATCCTATTGGTACCACACCAGGACTCCATATTTTACTATAATAAGATTGTTGACTCCACATATATATTTGCTGTTGTTAAGTGCCATCGAGTCAGTTCTGACTCACAGCAACCTTGTATAGGGTTTCCAAGGAGTGGCTGGTGAGTTTGGAGTCCAGTGCTGTATCTCACAGAACCACACGAAGGGTCATTTAAAAATATGCCTGTTAGGGAACTTCTGCTTTCTTTTCCCCCCAAAATAAAGGTCTTAAATGAGTGTGGGAGCATTGTGACTGCCTACTGCCTGGCTCTAGTTGTGATCCCTGGTGCTCCTGGTTACCCTCACATCCACTTTCTTGCTTGTAAAATAGTGGGTTTGGATTAGATCCTCTCTGAGATTAAAAGCACACTGGGGGAGAAGTGACTGTGCATGCCATGTGAATCCTCCGTGGAAAACTATCAGTGACTCAGAGGAGGCCTAGCAAGGTATGGGTCCTTTGATAACAGGGTTTTCATACCCTGGAGAGAAGAATCATTGTCCTTGCTGGCCTGGGGAGCCAGGGCTGGGTGGGCAGGAGCTTATGCTGCAGCTACTAGAGGGGTGATTGAATTCTGTTTTCCATCACTTCATTGAGGTGGAGAATTTTTTTAAAAAAGGAAGGAAAAGCGGCCACAGTTAAAAGAAAAACAAATCTTTATTCAGAGCTAAAAATAAACAAACAAATGTTCCAGTGGTGCTCGTTGTTGCAGTGAAAGGTCTGTAATTCCTCTTAAACCTCTTTAAGCATCTGCTGGGGAATGTTAAATCAACTGGAGAACTCACGGTATCATGTTGCCCAGAACCAATGTCGCATTGCTTATATGGATGCACCTCAGAGATTTCCAGTTTCTGCCACTGGCATTGTTGCAATGCTTTTGGGTTGATGTTGTCTTTAACTCCCTTGCCCAGATACTTTTGAAGCATCAGGCTCTCCCGGGTGCTGTCTCCAGCTTCTAAGCCTCTAGATCACTCCACTTAACTTTGTGCTTGGCTGTAGACTCTGTCGTGATGGTTTGTATTTTGTTTATGCACACACAACATCTCTGTATGCTTTTTTATTTGTTAATCAGTGGAAGTTGAAATCAGCAGCCTGCAGTTGCAAAACAAAGCATAATAATATGCTTGGGACTGAAAGAGTGGGGATGTCAAAGTAACATAGAAAGCCCTTTCCCACCAGAAGCCCTCGATTTATTGCAGACCACATAAAATCAAAATGCTGGAGTACAGCTGCTCCCAAAGCTGAAGGTCCTCATGGTTACAGCATGCTTTGGAAATTTATCCCCACCAGCTTTGCAGTTAATGGAAATGTTTGCTTTGCATGATATAAACAAAATTTATGGACAGATTGTGTAATTAGGAAACTCTTTAATTTTCTGTTGTACTCTTTACTCCCCAGTATGCCTTCTCTATCACATTGGAGAATTCTAAGTATTTAAGAACATAAATCTTGTCTTAGGAATGATCTTCACTTTTTATTTATTTATTTATTTTTTAATTTAAAGTTTTTATTGTGGATTGAGTGAAAGTTTACAGGGCACATCATCAGTTTCACATTCAACCATTCATATAACTTGTTTCATTACATTGATTATAATCCCCTTCGTAAACCACCAGTTAACAGTGTTTCTCTCTATCCTCTTTAGCTTTTTTTTTTTTTTTTGAGGGGGGGGCACTTTTTTTTTCTGATGAGACTGCAGTAGATGCATTTCCCCCTTCTTTTCTGTCGCCCCTCTCAGTTAGGGACCTGAAGTCTGGTGTTTCATCCTAAAGCTCAGAAACATTCCAGTGTGTATGGGGAGTGAGTGTATTGGTACTGTGCTTTTGTGGTGTGGTAAGCTACCCTGTAGTTGTTTGGCAGCCAAGGTTTGTGATCTAAGCAGTATAAGATCAGTATAAGATCAGCTACAGGGTGATACAGCTCTCTTCAAACCACATGGAAAATCCAGCGTCCTCCCACATGGTTCAAAGCTTTTATCCTACAGTGCCACACCAGGACTCCATAGAAGCCAAGATTTACCGTACAGCACAAAATGGGGGAATTTGGCTAGGAAGGCCTTAATAATTAGCTACCTTACACTTATTAAGCTTCATTTTAACAGGTCTCAAAATTCTGGTCAAGTTGTTTCCACTTACAAAGTACTGATTTAAAAAAACTAGTAACTTCAGACTTCCACACACAGAAAGAAATAATGGCCCATGTTAAAACATTCCTTTCATTCTGACAGTTTTACATTGTTATCATTAACCAGTCTTTACTATTAAATGACCAATTGAGACAAACAATTCTGAGACCATTGTTTCACTGCTGAAGAAGACTGGGTGGCAGGTGTTAAGTATAATATTCATTGAGCCTCTGAGCTTTCTGAGCAGACTTGGTGACCTTGCCAGCTCCAGCTGTCTTTTGTCCACTGCCTTGATGATACCCACAGCAACCGTCTGACTCATATGGAAACAGAGAAACTACTTAGAGGAGCATAGTCAGAGAAACTCTCAATACACATGGGCTTTCCAGGAACCATGTGAACAATTGTGGGAGCATTATGAAACTTCAAGGATTTAGGGCTGTCTTCCAGCTTCGTACTTGAATGGTGATCAGTCTTCTGTTTGAGCTCAGCAAACATGCAGGCATTGTGAGCTGTGGTACACTCCAGTACAGGTGCATATATACAGCACTGAATTGGCCTGGAGGGTTCCAGATGGTCACCTGAGCAGTGAAGCCAGTTTTACTGCCGACAGTCCCGTTGCCTTGATGAACATCTGTGGTAGAGGTATTCTTTACATGGAAGCCTACACCTGTTCCTAGGAATGAAACCAGATCAGCTGGCATGATGTAAAAAGGGATATGGGACAGAGTTCATTGAGTTTTAAGATGTTATGCTTGAGATTTACCATGTAGGGTTAAAAGTTGTAGGAGTGATCACTTTATTATATTTTTTATTTCTTAGCATTTTATTCTAAGAAGGCATTAGATTTGGATCTACTTGTAATGGATCGTCTAACTTAATACATTATCTCTTCATTACAGGCGGTGATTTCGATCCCGAGACTTCTCCAGTCCTTCCTCCTGGTCATGGTGGTGACTTTCCTGTCAGCAGCCTTTCTGTAGCAGAGGACACCTATAGGGTGAGCTTGGCCAAAGGTGTCTCTATGTCTCTGCCTTCATCACCCCTGCTGCCTCGCCAGTCTCACTTGGTACAATCAAGATCAAACAAGAAATCTCCAGGTAAACAAGTAACAAAACTTATTGAAACTAGGTGCCTTGGTTTTCTTAAGTAACGTTGTTGTTAGGTGCCATCAAGTTGGTTCTGATAGCAACCCTGTGCACAACAGAACAAGATTCTGTATGGTCCTATGTGAGCTTCACAATTGTTGCTATGTTTGAACCCATTGTTGCAGCCATCTTGTTAAGGGACTTTCTCTTTTTCTCTGGCCCTCTGTCAAGCATGATGCCTTTCTCCAGTGACTGGTCCTTTCTGATAACGTGTCCGAAATGTGTAAGACAAAGTCTTGCCATCCTTGCTTCTAAGTATTATTCACGCTGTTCATTTCCCAAGACAGAGTTGTTCATTATTCTGGCAGTTCATATTCATTCCATATTTCTTCCAGCACCATAATTCTTTATATGTAATAATAATGCTTTATATATAACAATAAAGCATCACTTCTTTGGCTTCCTTTCTCATTGTACAGTTTCCCTAGGCATATGAGACAGTTGAAAATACCATGGGTTGAATCAGGTGCTCCTTAGTCCTTTTTACTTTTATCAAAGTAAAAAGCAAGACTAATGCTCAGGAGAAATATTTTAGGAAATGCTTTTTCTTTGCTGCAACAATTTATAGAAGAAGGAAATCTTAAGGGGAAAAGTATATAAGTTGAACAGATTCATCCCTTTAACTCAAACCCTTTAACTTGGTTTGAATGCCCAAGATAAACTTTTACAAAGATTTAATATCTGGTTGTAAATACGTAACATTAACCATCTGTTTTGTTTTGTTTTTGCTCAAGAGCTCTAGAGAGCTCTATTCTAAACTCACTGTGGTGTTCTTAAATGTTATAATTTCAGGCTAGTGCAATGTGAAAGCAGTATATTTATTTACTATGAGGCATTTTATACTAATCTCTTAGACTTGATTGCATCGTCTAGCGTTTGAACTGCTATAACATTTAATTGTTTGTGAAAACTCAGACTTGGAAAAGGGTAGAGGCAAGGGACGTATAGATGACATACTATGAAATATTGTGGCTTCCCTTCATCCATCTTTCTCAACTTGTTGCGATTATCATTACCCTTCCCCCCAAAAAAGAAAGAACATTGCTTAGCTTTCAGAGGTCATGAATCAGATGTGACCTGGAATTGTAAAAGTTCTTCCATCGTCTTTGAAACTTGCTGAACATTTGTTTATTAAAGACAGAATAATTTGGGGCCTTACTGATCATTTGACCTTGAAGAGATTTCTCTCAACTCATATGTACTTCACAACTGCTCTAAAATATACCCTGAGGCTATAAAACTGGTCTTCGTGTTTCTGCTTTTAAAATATTTGTCCAACTTGAGATGTGAAATGACTTATTTACAAACCATTGAGTGGGTATTTTATGTGGCTGTCAAATTAAGAAAACCTTAATTAAGGCTTTGATGTCAGAAATGGTGCTATGAGCTGGTGAGTGTCAACAATCTTTTATTTTACTAGAATCTTTTGATTTTGGACAGCATTGTTAACAATCATTAACTGAAACTTGGAAACCATTTTGGTATGAAGTGATTTCCTGTGCCAAGGAATTTGACCTGTTTATCAGGATTTGGGGAAATTCATGGGATAACCTCTTCCCCCTCTGTTCTTCAACTTCCCTATAGCTCTTTGTCAGATTTCTTCCCTTCCTGCACGTCATCGTCCCCACACTGCCTTTATTGCCACATTTTACCCCATTGTATTTATTCTCTTCTTTTTATCACCAATCATGTCAAATTTCCTTTTTCCTTGAATTAGTGTGTATGTGTATATGTCTGATGCTTGAGGTAGGGAAAGATGTCTCATCTAAGTATACCTTATGATGTACTTGAAACACTTGCTACAAGATGCTGTTATTGTTAAGTTCTGTCGAGTCAGCTCCCAACTCATAGCAGCCCTGTATAACGTTTCCAAGGAGCATCTGGTGAGTTTGAATCGCTGACCTTGTGGTTTGCAGTCCAGTGTTGATCATAGAGATAATTGTGAACTTCTTTGGATCCTTAAGAGGCTTCAGTTGAAGGTTATGACAAGTGCAGAGCTCTTACTTGCTAGACAATTTTCCTTCCTATAGTCTGAAGATTCCTGGTTGTGCAGTGGTTAAACATTTGACTGCTAAATAAAAAAGTTGGTAGAGTCAGAACCATGCTTTCAAACTGGTCCAAACCAATTCTATCATGGCTGACTCAACAAAATTGGAGCAGACTGAATGGAATGGAAGGTGATGAGCCCTTTCAGGAGCCCGATGTGTAGGAGATTGGATTTATAGCCAGGACTATAGAAAGCGACACGCATTCAGAGTAGTGTGGTAAGCTGCCATCTTTGAGCTGGCCACTCTGCCAGTCGAAAAATTTGGTTGCTGTGCAGTGCTCAGAGTCTTGGTATGCTCAGAGTCTGTAGGATAAGCACCTGATTGTACGGTTGTTTTGAACTGCAAAGTAGGCAGTTCAGACTCACCAGCTGCTCCTTGGGAAACCCTATACGGGGTCGCTACAAGTCGGAACCGACTCAACGACACTTAGCAACAGCAGCAATAGCAATGCGATGCTCAGGCTACCCGTGAAGAAGAGTACATTTCTGACAGGGTGTCTGTTGTTGTTGTTGTTAAGTGCCATCGAGTCGGTTCCGACCCATAGCGACCCTGTACAGGGTTTCCAAGGGTGTAAATCCTTACGGGAGTAGAAAGCCTGATCTTTCTCCCGCGGAGCGGCTGGTAGTTTCAAACCGCTGACCTTAAGGTTCGCAGCCCGATTCGTAACCACTACGCTACCAGAGCTCCAGGGTGTCTACTGACCTGTAATTTTTCTTGTTATCCCATTTCACAAACTGGGGATTTGTTCCAGTGTAGCATTGTTGGCCTCGATATGGACAGCATTGGACCTTTAAATGGGTTGGAAAAAATTATCCTTTATATTAATGTTTTTCCTCCAAATTGTAACTAAATAAACTAAGCAGATAATTCTCTCTGAAGCAATACTTGCATGCTACCTAAATTTGTACAGCCAAGTTTTGTCTCATAGTGGTCACATGGCTTCTTTATGTCAGCATTTTCATTCACAAATAATAGTCAAGGGCAGAGATGCTTGCTTAAAAATGGCAGTGACTTTGAATACTTCAGATGATAAACCATGTTTTTTCTAAAATGTCTCACATACACTTTCTGTTTAAACCATATTGTTGGAAATGTATCTAGAACTTTAATATTCTACCTGCCTATAGAAATAGTTGACATATGGTTGTGAAAATGCACTGAATTTTAAAATATTCATCTATTTAAAAAGCTAGCACTTGCTGGCCATGGATACAGTAAATACACAGTATCTGCAGGGCCAACAAGGCATTGAGCCATCCCTAGTGAGCTGGGACTTCAGGATCAAGTGTACACACCCTGATCTGAAGTTACTTTGAGGACTTTCTGATTTGTAAGATTAGGTCCCTTTGTCTCGTTAAGATGGTGCTTAAAATGCTACTGAACCTGCTTTACTTGTTTGAATAGAAACCTTTCACTAATTGATGCTAATCAAGAAACTATTAAGATTGTTGATAGAATATCAAGATATTCTCTTAGGGATCAAACACTATAAACCCTGTAATAAGGAACTGTGTCTATTAATACAATAGATGGTAAGTTCCTAGACTTTTGGATCTGTGGTCCAGAGATCAGTTCAATAACATGGCCTTGCATTGTAAATGCTGTGATTTCTTACATTCTGATTACATCCGTAGTTAAATTTATTTACTGCCGTCTTGCCCCATGTATTGATAATTTCGTTAGTTTTGTTTTTTCACTGCTAGTAGGAAGATTCTGTGTTCGGTTTGTTTCAAAATTTTGTTTTTTTCCTAAATGTAGAATGCATATTCTGGGGATGAAAACAAGGACTAATATTCATGAAAGTAGAGCTGCTGCAAGTCATCTTGGATTAAGAATTCATTAGCATTTGTAATGTGTCCTTTTGTCTTCCATACATGAGAAAAGCCCATTTCCTCTGGCTTATTTATTAGTAATATCATTGGTTACTTTGTATTTGGATTACTTTTCCTAAATCACTTTGGATCCATTATACAGAAGTCAAAAGGTAGAACACAAGTGAGAGGCAATCTTTTAAAACACTGTGATGGAATAGATACCACAGCAAGTGGTGGAAAGTTCATGATGGTACTCTTCAAATTTGTGTGGGTTGACTGGATTTACTACAAACAAAACATTGCCATTGAGTCAGTACTGGTTGATTGCAACCTCATGTGGTACAGAGTGAAAGTGTACTTCCTAGGATTTTCTTGGCTATAATCTTTATGGAAACAGATCGCAAGGCCTTTTCTTCTGCAGCTTTGTTGAGTGGGTTGGAATCACCTACTATTTGCTTTGCATTACCTGGGGACCTGGACACTGTGGGTAGTGCCAGCAGCTTAGGTACGTGCTTGTTATTTACACTGTTGGAAGAAGTGCAGCCAGAGGGCTCCTTTGAGGCCAAGATGGCCAAACTCATCTCTTATACTTTGGACATATTGTCAGGAGGGAACAGTCGCTAGAGAAGGATATCATGCTTGGTAAGATGGAGGGTCAGAGAAAAAGAGGAAGACCCCCCCACCCCCAACGAGATGGATTGGCCAGGTGGCAGCATTGATGGACTCAAGTGTGGCAACAGTAGTGAGGTTGGCCCAGGATCGGACGTTGTTTCGTTCTGCTGTGCATAGGGTCTCTATGAGTCGGTACCGACTCGATGGCACCTAACAACAACAACAACTCCCAGTTCTGGTGTGGTGCTGTGGGTTAATGCACCAGACTAGAAAACAGGTTGGTGGTTCAAGCTCATCAGCTGCTCCTTGGAAACCGTATACAGGGTTGCTATGGGTCAGAACCGACTTGACGGCACTTCACAACAACAACAACAACTCCCAGTTCCACTCTTGTCTCCCCTTTTGATATAGCTGATGCAGCAATTTTGAAACCTGTTCTGGCTGTGTGCTTATTTAAGGGAAAACCTCAAAATCTTAC